TCCACGTCACCTTCCGGGAAAGGTTTTTTGATCCTAGGAAAGAGATGCAGGAACAAAGAACCTTTATTCCTCAGCCCACTGCTGGTTCTGGGTGTGGCAACTGGACTGATAGCTCCAACCTGTCATCATGAAGCAACCATCCCGAGGGCAAAGCTTGTGCTCCCAGGAAGGCCAAACAGAGAGAAAGACCCAAGCCCTGGGCCCCAGTGCTGTCATGAAGCCAAGGTATGAACACATCTGGGAGCCGATCTCTGAAGTTCTTAACTCTTCATGTCTGTTGATCTGTTTTGCCATGGTTTAAACCAGTTTGAGCTGGCCTTTTGTAAATGGAAGCATCTTCAGGATTCAGTTTTAGGCCAACTTGTCAAAACCACAGAAGAGTTACATTTGAGAAAAATACTGGGCTAGGATCTTTCTAAGATTGGATGCTAAATTAGAAATAGCCTTTTATAGCCCAGTACAAAAGGAGGTGGGAGGGATTCCACCCAGAATACTTTCTAATTGTTCTCCTTAGTCTAGTTCAAAACTAGTCTAGTTCAAGACTCCAGGAGTATCTCGGGAGTCTGGGAGCAAAGCCCATCCGTGCTAGAAGTCTGTAATTGCCATCCGAGCCCTGGTGTTGCACTGGACAAGTCGGCTGCCTCCCTGTACTCTGCTGCCTACAGCCACGGAGTGCCAAATCCAAGCACAGTCACACCCTGCATCCGTTACAAGGTTTTCTGCCTTTAAACTCTGGTATCCCAGCTCCAGTGAGGATGATCCACCCCCTTTTTTGTAAATACTGAAGATTATTGAACTCAGGGCCTTTGCACTGGGCTACGTTCCTAGTCTTCTATTTTTTAAATTTTGGGACAGGGGTCTCACTAAATTGCTAAGTTGCCCAGGCTGGGCTTGAAATTGTGATCCTCTTGCCTCAGTCTCCCAGACTGCTGGGAGTACAGGCATGCGCCACCACACCCACTCTGAGCCAATTTCTTATCGTGCAACGTGACCTAGTTATTCTTGCACCGGAAGAATAAGGTGCACATATTTCCTAAGGTAAAGTGAGCATCTAAGTGGAGCGGGGTCATCGCTAGATGGAAATCTTGATGTCAGCAAGTTCTCCCAGGGCACCTAAGAGTGCTTCTTCTAGGGTTGCTCTGGTTTCCCTAGCCTGGATTTGTGTTAAGCGGCTAGAATGAATTTACCAATAACAATGCTAGTGATGATGATAAACAATTCCTTGAAGTCAGGAAGTACTTTCTAGGAAAGTAGAAGTACTGCTTGCATTCATTATATTTATCTTCAGAACACAGAGAAGGCAGGGAAAGGGTGCTTCTCCCACTCAAAGCAGAGTTTACTGAAGCTCAGAGACAGGAAGTGTGAGATGCCCCGGCATTTACAGGTAGAGAAAGTGAATTCTGGTTAAAGAACTGCCTAGCTAGGGCAGTTCCAAGGGAACTGTTTGCTGTTACTTTTGTAGTTGCTGCTGTTCGTGTGGGTACATATGGTGGGCATTGAATCCAGACCCTTCACATTGAGCTACACCCTTAGCCTTTTTAGATTTTTAAAAAATTTTTTTTT